GTTATGCTAGACTTTTGCATCTGGCAAAGTAGTCCCCGTTAAAGTGATATGAGCTTCAAATGTACACACAATCAAGTGATTTTTAAATATCAGGCCCATGTTGATTTGCTAGAGAATGGCTTCATTTCAGAATTACATTTTGTTGTGAAATGTTTCCTCCTAACTGTGTTGAAAATTTCTAATTACTATTGTCAAATTTCCTGATTGATAATATCCTGGTGACCATCTCATGGCATGTGTGTGCAACAGTTCTATGGAAACAGATACACCTAATGTTAAAATTAAAAAAATGTACAGAAAGGCCATATTGTTTCATGGGTATAACTGACAGATTGAGGCACTGAAAATGTCTGGAAAAGGTACCAATTCTTACTGAGAATACCTGGTCCAGGAAATATGATTTATTTAGTTAAAATCAGGAGGAAACATTCACAACCAAACCAATTGAGAAAAGAGAGCTCACGAGAGTGGTTGTGGAGACTCCAATAAGCAAATGGAGGACACTGCAATCTTTCACTCATCTTTCTCTAGTTTTGTGCATGTCTTTGCTGGATCAGTAAGGGTAACTTTCTTTGAAATTATAGTGATAATAAATTAAGGTTCTGTGATTTTCAAAGATTAGTGTTTATGTTTTATCAGGTGGTTTATTCAGAGGGACATGGCCATGTGTTCAGGGACACCCTGTGGAGGGTTAAAGGCTAGACTCAGGTCCCAGCGGGTCATCGGTTATCCATGTGCCTGACTGTGGGCCATCCATTAATCCCTCTGCACCTGGGTCTCCTGATATGTAAAATAAGAGATTAGACCAGCTGATCTCAGAGACCCTTTCAGTCTAATTGAACGTCCGTTGTTTTAGTGTTATAAAAACAAGACCCCTGGCATTTTAACAGATGTTTTTCCGACAGTGCATATAGTAATAATAATTTTCTCTTCCTTCTCTGTTATACTTAAGATGCCCTGAAAGCTGTTATTCACCTTGGCAAATGGCTATTCCAACATTTCCCTTTTGACACAGTGATAAATGGAAACACCGCAGAACCATCACTCTTTCCTTTACAAAGGTTAGGCAAGAGTAGACCGGCAGAAAGTTCCTAGACTAAATATTAAGTAAAATGTAATTCTATTTCCCAGGCCTGGGTTCTCAGGCAGACAGGATGGACTCCCAGCCCTCAGCCCTTGTGCTTTCACCTATCTTTTGGAAATTGTTCATTTCCATCAATTTGGAACCCCTCCTCTCCTGAAAGTGTTGTCAAATGCCATAATGTACATGTATCATATTTGCCAAGTATCACTTAGCAACGGAAATTTATGTTCTGCCAACTTCCTTTTTATGCTGACAACCTAGATTTTATAGAAATTGTATTTTCTAGAAGGCTTTACAGATTGGGAAGAGTGACAAAAGAATGTCTCATCACCAATGCAGGAAGACTCGGGCACTGGCTACCCTGAGATTTCTGGGAGAATTTCAGATGCTATATAATAATGGCACACCATTCAGAAGCAATTTATTTTTAATCACTGGCTATTAATCAGCTGTAGATTGACATCAGTTTCCTCTTAAAACTGATGACAAAGTGTTGTATTTGTGAAGAAATATCAACTTGATTTTGGCCACAAACATTAAAAGCCAGCATAAAACTAATGTGTTCCCAAGGGTATTGGGGCACTAGCAATGTTTACTCGCCTTGTAAGAAACTAAGCCACATTATCTTACAGGGGAAATATTATTGTAAGAGTTTGATTTGTTCTATGGGATGAAGGATAAAGTACAGTATCTAACCCATTATTTTATCTTAGTTTTTCCACTTATCTTTACTGGTGCTGTTTGGTGATAGAAGATGAATATTGTATGGTCCATTACAAAGTATGTTTGAATACAATAAATGCTCCTCCTTTAATGGCAGGCCCTTATGAAATGATTTAATATATATGATTTGCTTTGAGAGTAGTTATGGCAATAAGAAGAACAGAATAGACAGAATAGTGTTCTTCCTTCTATGAAAATCAGGGCTTCTCATTCATTATCCTGCCTACTAATTTTACAGATACTATATATATAGTTAATTAATTTTCCTTCATGTTTCTTCATGAGATTATTAGGTGATGAAAGAAAAAAAGGTGATATTGTTCTTATTTCATACAAGTCATGCCTAAATGTGGGTTCAAATTAATCATAGGAGAATTGTTCTAAAATTATCCACAAATTTTCCAGAATTCTTCACATCAGCTGTTACAATAAATGAACAGAGGTTTTCACAGGTAACTTTCCAGACCAATTAAAAATTTTTCCACACTTCTCTTTCGAGGTATGTAGGACTAAATGATTAAATGACTTACTTTACACCCAGGCCATCTGAGGTTGAAATTAATTAACTGATGGCAGTTCAACAGCGACTTGATGGGCAAACTCAATGTTATTTTCTCTTCCGGGGTATGTACTAAAACAGGCCATTTCTCTGCTGTTTCCAGTAACCTGTTTGTTTTAATAGTGATTCATTTGACATATACTTATGGGGTGTCTGCCATGAACCAAACATTAGTCAGAGACAGGAATGTACAGTAAACTCAAGCTCTCCTGGAGCTTACGTTTTACTGGGGGGCAGAGCAGCATGTCATCATTTCAAACAGCCAATGAGTGAATGAATACACGAGGAAAATTCAGAGTGGCAAGGGCTAGGAGAAGACAAACAGCATAATATTTGGGTTGCAACTTTTCCCTTGCAAAGAACTTCACCAAATGGTTTTCTGTCCCTCCACATTGTGGGGGTGGACACCTGAGAGGCATGTGTTCCTATCTGCACACTTTCCTTGGTGCCATTTGAGCTCTAAATGGTTGCATTGGATCCAACATAGAACAGGGAGTACCCTGCTCACAGAAGTCAATTTTGTGAGCGCAATAGCTTTTTCCCTCCCTATGTATCTTGAAGAAAGATAAATACAATTTTTTTCTAAACATCCTACAAGGAACACATTCTGAAAATGACATGAATTAAATAATAGAATCTGCAAATGACAAGAACTCACTGTGACACTATAAAAAACAAAGATCATAAAAGCCTGGAAATAGCCATAACAGAGTTTGGTTTTATTTTTTTTAATGGACAACCAGGAAGTCTTATGTGTTGATAGAATCACATTGGGAGGTCATAGTTATCAATTAATCTCAGATCATTGATGAAGGAAGGAAATTGAAAGAGTGAAAAAAATAATTTCAGCAAGATTTGCCTGATTTCAGTAGACTGTTCCCTCACATATGGCAAAAGGCACAAAAGTTTTGGATCACTTCAGCCGTTATTCTAGAAATATTAGTTAAATGTCTACAGTGTTATAGTCATTTAGAAAGTGTTATGAAAGATAATAGAGAAGAAAAGATAGAATCTTTATCTTTATTGAGTTCACAGTCTAAGATTACACTTTAAATATGATAAAGCTTATATAGTATATCACGAGTTTTGAGATTCATGTACTTCCCAAAATAGTGGCCTCAAGACCTAATGAGTTGGAGTTGCAGGTTCTCAGAGGTAGAAGCAGCAACTGCTATGGAGGCTGTGACAGAAAATGGCTGGACCTCAGGTCCCAGAGGTTCCCTCTCTTTCCTGTCCACACTATACAGCAGGCAGTTTGCACCCATGTGGGAATGCTGGGGAGCGAAGAGTGAAGCTTACCAGGCCCCAGACTTCAGAGCATTGCACCTGCACTTAGCATACTTGGAGAGACTTAAACTGCCCACTCGGGCCATCTGCTGCTCATTCTAAAATGTGCCTCAGTAGATGCCACAACTCAGATGCAGAGAGAATTTGATTGAGCTGGTTCAATGGTCAACTCTAACACAATAGCATTTAACTCTTTATTTGGGGTGGTAAAATGGTGATGCTCTAATTTTTTCATTAGTTTTTTTTATTCATATACCAGAAAATTTTTATAGAATGAAACTTCCCCTCATCAGATCTGATTACAGTGCTCATATAAGAAAGTCATAATAAATGCTTGAGTTTTTCCCTTTATTTGTCACTTTTCCAAATAGTTGTTTATCTATCACCTTCTAAACAGGCAAGAAGACCATTGAGGTTTTTCTAAAAGTAATATGATTATGAGCAAATGGATTTAGATTTATTTGATGTATTTTGATGCAATTATTATTAATGTTCAAAGGGTCCATTGGCCAGTGGGGATCACTTCAAGTGGACTCCTGAGCCTTTCTACATTTTCTTAGTTTTCTTTCATATTTTTCATGCTGCGAGGAAGCCTACCTAAGCTAACTCATTCAATCACTCTACATGAAGAAGCCCCAGACTCACATCAACAGATGCCCAGCTGCCTCCAACGACTCCATTTTCTGCTCTAGCTTCAAACAACATCTGACTATAAAGCCTGAGAGACCCCAGCTCAAATTGTGCAGCTGATCCACAGAATCACAGAAATTCTGATCTGTTGGGAACCTTACACCTGGCTTCTAGCTAAAAACATTGCATTGATTACAGGAACCTGTGCGCTCCACAAAGCCAATCGGCTACAGGTAAATGAGGTGTGCATGCGCTCCCCAAGCCAATCGGCTACAGGCACATGAGGTGTCCACGAGTACCAGTTGCACCCAAGTAATCAATAAGCGGGCCCTTCTTTGTCTCAAGCTAGCCAATAGCAAGCAACCTAATCTCCTTCCTCTCCCTCCCCCCCTATATATATACCCAGTTCGGAAAAATAAAGTTTGCAGCTTGATCAGAATCTTTTGTCTTGCTGCCATTCTTCGTGCCTCTTGTCCCCCCAACTCATTTGTTCTAGGTAGGTGGTCGAGCCCCAGTTGATTGCTCCATGGGCCGGAGCACTGATCCACAGAATTTCTGAACCACAGAAACTGAGAGATTGAATGATTATTGTTTTTTTAACTTTTTTATTGATTATGCCATTACATTTGTTCTATTCCCCCCTCTATTCCCCTCCACCCTGCATAGCCCTCCCCCACCATTTCCCCCTTTAGTTCATGAATACATGTCTCAAATTCTTTAGATTCTGTATTTCCCCTACTATTCTTACCCTCCCCCTATCTATTTTCTATCTACTGTCTATGCTACTTATTTTCTGTACCTTCTCCCCCCTTCTCCTCCTCCCACTCCCCTGTTGCTAACCCTCCATGAGATCTTCATTTCTATAGTTCTGCTCCTGATCTAGCTGTCCTGTTAGTTTGCTCTTGTTTTAGGTGTGGTTGTTACTAACTGTGAGTTTGCTGTCCTTTCACTGTTCATCTTTTTTATCTTCTTTTTCTTAGGTAAGTCCCTTTAACATTTCATATAATAAGGGCTTAGTGATGATGAACTCCTTGAATTTGGTCTTATCTGAGAAGCACTTTATCTGTCCTTCCATTCTAAATGAAAACTTTGCTGGATAGAGCAATCTTGGTTGTAGGTCTTTGGTTTTCATGACTTGGAATACTTCTTTCCAGCTCCTTCTTGCCTGTAAGGTCTCTTTTGAGAAATCAGCTGACAGTCTGATGGGAACTCCTTTGTAGGTGACTGTCCCCTTAGCTCTTGCTGCTTCTAGGATTCTCTCCTTCATTTTAATCTTGGCTAATGTAATGATGATGTGTCTTGGTGTGTTTCTTCTTGGGTCCAACTTCTTTAGGACTCTCTGAGCTTCCTGGATTTCCTGGAAGTCTATTTCCTCTGCCAGAATGGGGAAGTTCTCTTTTATTATTTGTTCAAATAAGTTTTCCACTGGTGGCTGTTCCTCTTCCCCTTCTGGTACCCCTATAATTCGAATGTTGGAACGTTTAAAGATGTCCTGAAGGTTCCTAAGCTTCTCCTCATTCATTTTTTTGAATTCTTGTTTCTTCATTCTTTTCTGTTCAATCATTTTTTTCTTCCTTCTGGTCCACTCCATTGATTTGAGTCCTAATCTCCTTTCCATTATTATTGGTTTCCTTTGCATTACCATTCATTTCAATTAGTTTAGCTTCCATATGTTTCTCTAATTTGTGACTAAAATCAACCAGTTCTGTGAGGATCCTGATAACCAGTGTTTTGAACTGTGCATCTGAAAGTTTGGCTATTTCTTCATGGCTTAGATTGATGGGCTCTGGGGCTCTGAGTTGTTCTTGAGCCATTTTTGGTCTGTTCGCACCGTTAAGTAAGCGGAGCGAAGCCTTAGTTGTTTACCAGGACGGGGCGACCCAGGTCGCTGGTTTGTGACACTGTGTGTGGGGGCGTGGTCAGAGAGGGAGCAATGGTGGTCCTCTCCGCTAGCCCAGTCTGTCCAGTCCCACCACTCGCCCCGGCCTGTTTATCGGATCGGAATTGTGCGAGCCTGCTGCCCCGACCCTGCTCGCCTCTTCACTGGTTTATCCGCATGCAGATGTGCGACCTACCGCAGACAGCCAGCCGCGCCTCTTCCCTGTGTGCTCCCATAGCTATACCGCGATCCGCGCCTTCGGCTGCTTGCGCACCACCCGTTGGGGGATTTTTTTTGCCAACCTGCTCCACTGCTGGCTTCGCTCCTCTTACCGGTTTAGCTGAGCATTTCGTTGTCTTTGGACTCCATATTGTCGATTTTCTGTGTGGCTTGGTTGTGTTTATTATTGTTAAAAATAGTTGTTCTTAGATTTGGTTGTGCACGGAAGCAAGGTGGTTCCACCTACACCTCCATCTTGGCGGAAGACCTGATTATTGTTATTTTTAAGTAATTTTGTTTTCTGGCAGTTTTTTTATAAATTAACAAATGACCAAAAATAAAAAATTAAGCCAATGTCTATTTTAAAAGCTACCAGTAATTGGAAAGAGAGAAAAGGGAAAGGTCAAAAAGTTAAGCTAAGCTTCTTTGTCTACACTATACTTTGTAGATGTAGTTTTGGAACTATGCAAATGTTTTATATAATTATACATAATTTTGCAAATCAGTACCTAAAAACTAAAACAAAAATGGAATAAATGAACCTAAGTGTAGATTACAATGGTGGCTTAATCGCACAAAAGAGTTATTTCAAATAACTTATACAACAGAGTAATTTCACTGTGCCTTCTCAGTGGCATACAATGCAAGGACAAAAAAGAACTCAAAATAAAAACAAAATAAAACATGAAAACTTAAGCTACAGTCAGAATTGTATTATTAATAATAATATTGTTATTATTTTGTAAAAGAATTATTATATAATTAAAATCAAGTAAATAAATTAATTGTTTTTCCTTTAGAAATCAAAATCAATAATATAAAAAGTACAAAATCAAATAAGTCTGTCTTGTTTCTTAAAACCCTACAAACTCACCTGCCTGGTAAAATTAACCAGTTCTGTTTCCTGAGTTGCAACCCTTCCCACATGCTCCAAGGATGGAAAGCAGAGGTGAGTGGAATCCAGAATACAACTTAATCATTGCTAGGGATCACATTGACATGACAAAAATTCTGTTCTCTTTCTACTTCACCAATATTTAATAATGACAGCATCAGGAGAGAATGAGAGAGAGAGAAAGAAAGAAGGAGAGAACATGAAGAAATGGGGAAAGGGAAAACAAGGAGGAGGGAGGGTAGGAGAAAAGCAAGGAGGAAAAGATGGAGAAAAGGAAGGAAGGGAAGGAGGGAAAGAAGAAAAAAGGAAGGAGGGAAAGAAGAAGAATGGGATGGAGAGGGGGAAGAAAAAGGAACATATAAGAAAAAAATTAAAAATAAATAAATGGGCTAGTTTTTTATTCAGTATCAGTTTAAGCTACTTTAATGGCACCAAAGAAGGCATACCCCCACTCAATTTAAAGTGCCATTCATATTTCAAAGTTTCAAACAATAAGAAACACAGCATCTTCTAGAGAGCTTGAACCAATTTTGTCTTCATCCCAAATATTAAGGTAAAGCTTAGCCCACATTTCCTGATTCCCCCAAATAAAATACCTGTAAGTTTATAAAATATTCTTAAAAACTGACCACAGAAGTTAAAGATACTTCCAGTTATGCTGTAAATGATAGTGCTTCAGCTTGGCTATGGCAAATGGGTTATCTGCCTAAATAATCTCTTTATTTCAGCTCTCATTTTTAATAAAGCTTGGCATAGTCTACTGCCTTTGAAGGGAAAACAACATTGACAAGATTTAAGTAATGATTTGCTTGTATTTACAATACATTTGCTCCACAGAGTTGAATTTTATACAAGCCTTGTGCAACCCTGTTACACTGCAGCCAGGATCCCAGAGTTCTGTTCTTGAGTGACAACTGATTCGAAGTGTGGGCTCACATAAGTAATTCAGCTGCTAGGCACATGCTTCCCAAACAATCAGAGTAAAGAAACCAATGCTTTCCAACCATCTACCTACACAAGATTTTAGGGACGGAGAGCATAGTTGCCAAACCACAACATTATGTCCACCTTTTGATTTTTTTCATGACTCATATTACAAAGGGTCAGAATTTATTGGGCACATCTATGGGTTCAGCATGAAAGAATTGCAACAACAAATAGGCACAGATCTGTGATAAATGTTTTGATCAAGGAGAGACTTTCATTCACTTTTCTTGGCAACGTCCAGCATTTTTCAGCTGAGTTCAGGATGAGTTTTTTTATTACTCATCCTGAACCACTGGTGATTGTTTTCTAACTTTCTGAGCTAGTTACTGTGGAACTGACAGAAATCTGCCTCTATATTAAAAAAATAAAGGGATTCAGGACAGAAACTGAAGGAACTGAAGGCTGTACCTATCGTCCAAAGGTGGAAGAAATGTAATCTCTCTGCATTCCTGAATTCCTGCCTGACCTCTACATTCTGTGAAACTGACCCAAGGCCAGTTCTGCCAGGATATCACTTGAAAATTTTCTAGTCTATTAGTGTAAATACTTTAGGAATAAGGACTTCTATTATAATACCCTCTTTCTTAATGAAAGAGTAGTTTAAGCAATCTTGGTCAAAACCGTGCCTGTCCATATTTTATTTTTTAAATGATGCATGCAATAATCCCAACCCATTTCCTGGACTAAGGTTGTGAAGATCTTTGTTTCTTTTAAAGATCTATGTTTTCTTTGCATCACTACACAAATAGTCATTATTATTTACAATATTTGGGAACACCCTTTTCTGAATCATACACTTTGGTTTTCTTTAACCTTTCATTCTTCTCATGAAATAGATGTTAAAGACTATTTCTTTTCCAAATGAACACCTGTAACATATCCTAGCATCCTGTAAGCTTTGGAAAGAGAAAGTAGTGTAATGATTAGCATTGCAAAAATTTTCACTTCTGTTCCTGTTTATTAAGCAAATGTTCTTGGAAAGGCCCTTAAATTGTAATTTAGATGTTGCATATACATATATATTCTTGGAATTTTACTCAGATTTTTCTGTACATTTTGCAATGCCTTTAAACACTTGCATTTGCATTTAGCTACTCTTCTGAAGACTAGTAGAAACAGTAAAAATAATCAAATTATGAACAATTTAAATATGGAATTTTGAACATATGTGCCAATTATTTCCCTTTTTATTTTTCTCATCTATTACTTGACCCGAAGTCTCGAAGATCTGAGGAAAGAAAAAATCTAAATTACAAAATGATTTGTATCTTAGTATTTATTCCTTCCCTCTTTGCCCCTTTAGTGTATAAACTCAATTGTAGCCCCCCTTGGTTCATCCATAGTGGTCATGGTGACTCTCAAATGGCAGCACTTGTAGGGCTACCTAGGAGACAAGAATAACAGGTTTGGGCCCTCGGCTGAAAAGAGGAACAAGGAAGCTCAGTTTCCCAAGCATGTCACTGATCACCATGTAAGCAGCCTCCAGTAAGGCAGTGAGCTCTCCAGTATTAAGAGATGGAGACAAAGTTGTTTGCCGGTCAACTGAAGCTTAGCAAAATTTATCTTCTTTTTAAATCTATGATGAAATATTTCTTAATAAGTAAAAATTTATAACTATAATTTAATCTCTATTGATAATGAATATTGTACAATAACCATAGCTCTTCTGAGCTTTGTATCTGACAGTGTAACATACGCAGCATTGTTGCCCTAAGTGAGATCCCTGGACCAACTACCTCAGCACAGCCTGGAGACATGTTGCAGTTCCACCAAAAAAGCAATCAGTTGGAATTGGGGCGGGGGATAAGAATTGGGAAATTGTATTTTAATAAATTCTGATATACACTGAACAAGTGACTAATTTTAACCGTAGCATAAGCGACTACAGTTTAAGGAAATTAAGATAGAAGAAACATAAATACTGTGTTTTAGAACCCATTTTTGACACTTTGTGATAAGTATCATAGTGATGATATAATGGGTTTTTTTGTTTGTTTTAAAACCAACGTGGAAAAGACCCCAATATATTAATTTTCACCTTAAAGGTTTTTTTGCGTCACGGTGGTGATCACCATATACTAATCAGTATGTTTTCTTTTAGATACTCAATATTCTTTTTAAGTAAATACAAAAAAAGTGCTATGTGATAAAGAAGCAGGAAATGAATGGCTTCCCCCTTTGTCCAGATAAATGCCTTCTCCAGCATGGAAGGGTAAATGCACTGGAACATGATACAAAGGCTTCGTGCTATCAATAGCACTAGTCTGGGATTATGAAAGCTGGATTGGTAAAAGGCTGCCTCCCATTCCTCATAACTCACTTTTGCCCATACCTCTTGAACCTGGCTTTCAAATGGCCCCATTAATATCAATAATACACATACCAAGGTGAACACAAATTTTTCACTTTTTAGTCACCTTTTTGAGACTAGCATTTAACCTTGTTTTCTCAACTTTCTCATGGAAATACTGTTTTCTCTTTGTTCTCCATGACCCTGCATTCTTCTGCCTTTCCTTTCACTTCTCTCTTGCTCCTTTATAAAATCTTCTGTTCAAATTCTAAGTGTTAAATTTCCTTGATCCTAACCTTTTTTGCTCTGCTCTGCTCTCTATCATCTTTTCCTACTTGCCATCACCAAAAATAGATGGGGTTCAAACTTCTTTCTAGACACAGGTGACTTAAATTCTAGTTTCTTACACAAAGCTCACCTCTGAGTTCCGGATTTGTGTTTCCCACTCAAAATTTCCACCTAGCTGTCTCAAAAGCATGCCAAAATGAAAAAAAGTTTTACCTTCTCTTTACCTCACCCCAAATTTGATTCTTTTCTACTATTTTTTATCAGTAAAGGGCCTCTCCATCTTTCCATTAGCCCCTCCTCAATTTCTCTGTTTCCCTCACATCTCATAGTCAAGTTCTGACTTTTTTCCTCTTAAGTCTCATCAGCATTCCTCCATGCATCTCCAGCTCTACCACCCATTGTTCATGTTGGCTAATGCAATGATGTCTTAATTAGTTTTCCATGTTCCTTGATGTGCCCTATTCTTTACACTACAATCAGAAAGAGGTTTTTTTTTTAAGATGAATTTGATTGCATCATGCCCCCTTTAAAGCCATTGAATATCTCAGTTCAAGTCCACTCTGGGTCTGGCTGACTACACCCTGCTCTTTCCTAGCCACAGTTACCTTCACTAGACTCCAGCTCCTCAGGACAACCTGCTCCCTCCTATGTAAGAGCACATCATCATATTCTTTCCTCTGACTAGATTCATCTTCTCTTCCTTTCCTTGCGTGATTAACTCTTAATTATTCATTATTTTAATTTAAGCTTTATTATATTTTTTCCTTTGCCATTTAGTCCCCTATGTCCCCATCTCCCAGCAATCACCACACTGTTGTCCATGTCCATGAGTCCTTTTTCCTTTTGCTCAACCCCTCCACCACCTAACCTGCCACCCAATAGCTGTCATCTCCTCTCCATCTGTGAGCCTGTCTGTGTTTTACTTGTTAGTTCAGTTTGATTCCACATATGCGTGAAATCATAAGGTATTTCTCTTTCTCTGATGAACTAATTTCATTTACCATAATGTTCTCCAGGTCCATCCATACTGTCATAAAGGGTAAAATTTTCTTCTTTTTTATGGCCGAGTAGTATTCCACTATGTAAAAATCCCATAGTTGTTTTATCCACTCATCTACTGATGAACACTTGGACTGCTTACATATCTTGGTGACTGTAAACAACACTGTGATGGACATAGGGATGCTTATGTTCTTTCAAGTTAGTGTTTTGGGTTCCTTTGGATATGTTCCCAGAAGTGAGGTTACTGGGTCAAAAGGCAGATTCATTTTTAATTTTTGAGGTATGTCCACACTGCTTTCCACATTGGCTGCACCAGTCTGCATTCCCACCAACAGTGCAAAAGCCTTCCCCTTTCTCCATGAACTCACCAGCACCTTGTTATTTGTTGCTTTACTGATGATAGCCATTCTGACAGGTGTGAGATGATATTTCATGTAGGATTTTTTATTGCTGTTTAAGTACAGTTGTTTTCATTTCCTACCATCACCTTCCCTCACCCCACCTACCCCCACCTCCCACCCTCAGTCCTACCCTTTTTTGGCTTTGGCCATTGGTCCCTTATACGTGTTCCTTGATGACTCTTCCCCTACTTTCCCCCAGTATCCGTCTCTCCCCTCCCTTCTGGTTATTGCCAGTTTGTTCTTTATTTCAATGTCTGTGGTTATATTTACTTGCTTGTTTGTTTTGTTGATTAGGTTCCACTTATAAGTGAGATCATATGGTATTTGTCTTTTACCACCTGGCTTACTTCACTTAACATAATGCTCTCCAGTTTCACCCATGCTGTCCTGGTGGCTTTAATTTGCATATATCTGATGATTGGTGGTGTTGAGCATCTTTTCATATGTCTATAGACCCTCTGTATATCCTCTTTGGAGAAGTGTTTATTTAGGTCCTTTGCCCATTTTTTAACTGGGTTGTTTGGTATTTTGGGTGTTGAATTTTTTAAGTTATTTGTAAATTTTTCCTGTTAACCCCTTACCAGATGTATTGGTGAATATGTTCTCCCATTCTGTGGTTTTTCTTTTTATTTTGTTGATAATTTCATCTGCTGTTCAAAAACTTTTTAGTTTTATGTAGTCCCATTTTTATTTTTTCTTCTGTGTCCCTTGCCTGGGGAGATATATCTGATATAAAATTTCTACAAGCAATATCTGAGATTTTGCTGTCTAAGTTTTCTTGTACAATTTTTATGGTTGTAGGTCTAACGTTTGCAGATGACATGATACTGTACATAGAGAACCACAAATATTCACCAAGAAACTACTAAAACTGATGAATAAATTCAACAAAATAACAGGATACAAAATTAATATCCATAAATCAGTTGCATTTTTATATGCCAGTAATAAACTAACAGAAAGGGAAATTAAGAAAACAATCCCATTCACAATTGCTTCAAAAAGAATAAAATACCTAGGAATAAACCTAAACAAGGATGTAAAAGACATGTACTCAGGAAATTATAAGACACTGAAGAAAGAAATCAAATGGATACAAATAAGTGGAACCACATTTCGATTCATAGATAGGAAGAATTAACATCATTAAAATGTCCAAACTACCCAAAGCAATCTATACATGCAATGTATTTCTTATCAAGATTCCAATGACATATTTCACTGAAGTAGAACTAATATTTCAAAAATTTATATGGAACCACAAAAGCCCTGCATAACAACAGTGATCCTGAAGAACAAAGTTGGAAGAATCATGCTACCTAATATCAAACTATACTACAATGTTGTAGTAATCAAAACAACCTGGTACTTGCATAAAAACAGACACATAGATCAAGGAACAGATTAGAGAGCCCAGAAATAAATCCGCAACTTTATAGTCAATTAATATTTGATAGAGGAAGCAAACAAATACAATAGACTAAAGGTAGTTTCTTCAATAAATGGTGTTGGGAAAATTGGACAGATGCATGCAGAAAAATGAACTAGATAATGTTCCTACACCATATATAAGAATAAACTCAAAATGGATCAAAGACTTAAACATTACACCTGAAACCATAAAAATCATAAGAGAAAATATAACCAACAAAATTACAGATATTCTTCCTAGAAATTTTTTATCAGATATATCTCCCCAGGCAAAGAATACAAAAGAAAAAATGGGAGTACATCAAACTAAAAAGTTTTGCATAACAAAAGAAAACATCTTCCAAATAAAAAGAGAAACCACAGAATGGGAGAACATATTCACCAATACATCTCATAAGGGGTTAACATGAAAAATTTATAAATAACTTAAAAAAATTCAACACCAAAAATACCAAACAACCCAATTAAAACATGGGCAACGGACCTAAATAGATACTTCTCCAAAGGGGGTATACAGAGGGTCTATAGACATATAAAAAGATGCTCAACATCACTAATCATCAGAAGAATGCAAATTAAAACCACCCTGAAATTTCATCTCACACCTGTCAGAATGGCTATCATCAGTAAAGCAACAAATAACAAGGTGCTGGTGAGTTCATGGAGAAAGGGGAAGGCTTTTGCACTGTTGGTGGGAATGCAGACTGGTGCAGCCAATGTGGAAAGCAGTGTGGACATACCTCAAAAATTAAAAATGAATCTGCCTTTTGACCCAGTCACCTCACTTCTGGGAACATATCCAAAGGAACCCAAAACACTAACTTGAAAGAACATAAGCATCCCTATGTCCATCACAGTGTTGTTTACAGTCACCAAGATATGTAAGCAGTCCAAGTGTTCATCAGTAGATGAGTGGATAAAACAACTATGGGATTTTTACATAGTGGAATACTACTCGGCCATAAAAAAGAAGAAAATTTTACCCTTTATGACAGTATGGATGGACCTGGAGAACATTATGGTAAATGAAATTAGTTCATCAGAGAAAGAGAAATACCTTATGATTTCACTCATATGTGGAATCAAACTGAACTAACAAGTAAAACACAGACAGGCTCACAGATGGAGAGGAGATGACAGCTATTGGGTGGCAGGTTAGGTGGTGGAGGGGTTGAGCAAAAGGAAAAAGGACTCATGGACATGGACAACAGTGTGGTGATTGCTGGGGGTAGGGTGGGGGCATATGGGGACTAAATGGTAATGGAAATAAGTACAATAAAGTTTTAATTAAAAAATAAAATATAATAAAAGTTATTTTCTTCTTTTTGATGTATAACTTGATTGCATTATACAGAGAATATAGCCAAATTTATTTTAATCCTTTGAAATTAATTTAGACTTCTTTTTTATAGCACTGTGCATGATATTTATGTAAATGTTCCTTATAGTAAGGAAAATAACAATATTCCCAAATTATTGAGTAGAGTTTTCATTATATGTCCATTAAATTCAGCTTGTTAATTGTGTTGTTAAATCTTTTTATTTGTACTAAATATTTATTGCCTGACCTATTAATCTCTAACTAAGTTATATGAATATCTCCAAACCTGATAATAAAGTTGCCTATATCTCCCTATATTTATAACAATTTTGTTTTATGGCTATTTGTTTGTGGCTATTTTATTACAATCATAAATATTTAGAATTGTATCCCCTCCTAGGCAATTTAAACTTAAATCAAGATCTAATGACCCTGATATTAATATTACTATGTCAAATTCTGTTGTTGTTATTTTCATAGCACACATTTTCTATATTCTTATTTTTTGACACATTTTGCAAAAGGAACATAATTTGGTATTTTTAAATACCACCTGGAAATTTTGTTTATCTAGAAAACTTATTTCTTATGATTATTAATATATTTCAATTTACTTTCAGCACTTTATTTTATAGTTTCTAATAATCTGTTTTATGTATCATTTGTTTATTTTTTTCTCCTTTTTTATTTTATAGATTGATATATATGACACACATAGGTACAGGGGTAAGTGTAAGTAACTTTGAGTTGTCCATACGGAAGAATACAAATAAATACATAAATAATAATACAAGAATAGACTCTGCATTTTGTGTACTCACAAGTGTAAACCTACTTTTGCCTATCCTTGTATATACCCATTTAAAATAATGTCTACATTTAATTCAAGATATCTACTCATCTCATTAACAAGACAAAGACCTTGGGATGCTTTTTTATCATTCCCTATCTGGCTTACTGCTCAAGTTTTCTACATTACCTTATAATATTAATTTTACCCCAATAATTTAGACAGTTTCACTATTGTTCCATAACCAATGTTGGTTAGACTTTTCCGCATGCTTCCAGGTCACTTGCTCACTACTTTCCTCTGGGATAATTTTCATTCTTTCTGAAGTTGATTTTTTAGAAGTTCTTTAAGGAAGAATCTGGGGTAGTAAGTTCTTTCAGTTTTTGTTTTCAAAACGAGTATTCTTTCTTTTTTCATTTGCATTTTTTATTGCATGTTTTTTCCAGTACCATTTATTCCTCTTATCCCACCCTTTCCACTTCCCAATCACCACACTGTTGCCCATGTTGATGAGTCCTGTTTCCTTTTTGCTCAATCTTTCTACCCCCTCACTGACACCCTAACAGCTGTCATACTGCTCTCCATCTATGAGCCTGTCTCTGTTTTGCTTGTTTGTTCAGTTTGTTCATTTGATGCGTATATAAGTGAAATCATATGGTATTTGTCTTTCTCTGACTGGCTTACTTCACTTGGCATAATATTTTCCAGGTCCATTTATACTGTTGCAAAGGTAAAACTTTCATTCTTGATCTTGAGAGATGATGCTGTTATGTACGGAAATCTAGACTGACATTTATTTTTCCATTCCTCTAAAGAGATCATGCTACTACCCTCTGGTGTATATCTTTGGTTTCACTTATTTCAATAAGTTCCAGAAAATTTTCAGTTTCTAACTCTTCTTATTTTTCCCTCTTTTATATTCTATTTTCCTGATCATTTTATATTCTGCATCTGATCCCTATATTTGCATAAGGAGTCTGAGAATTAAAATAAGTCACTTGTGGCTTCTGCCTATTCTCCCCCATAGAAACATGTGTCCTTATGGTGTGGTAGTTTACCTTTATTGTGAGATAATGTTTGGCCAAATGTAATAATAAGTGGAAATTCCTAGGGAACAGAATTGAAGGTGATTTTCTCCACAAGAGATTTTTCTTAAAATATGTTGGATGCCACTTGCCTGGAAATTTTTTGCATGATGCCTTAGCCTGGGGGTTCCTTGAGTCTGGGGTAGTGTGAGAAAGAACCCAGATCCACATGAGACCAAGCTTGTGACTGCTTATTCCCAAATGAGATCATTTTTCCTTTTGTAAAAGAACACAGTTGGAGGTATTCTTACTTTCCCTTGAAGGCAGTCAGGCTTTTTTCACCCACCATTTCTCTAAAGCTGCAGTTCTTTGCAATGTCTTGGCTGTGTGTAAGAGGCTTGAATTCAGCTATGGGACTTTGCAAGAACGCCCAATGCCCAGTGTCTCATTCTCCTAAGTGGCCACATTAATCTCCAGAATTAGGTTGCCATTATTGGCATTTGTCTCCAAACTGTGGCACATTGGCTTCTCTGTTTGCCTTTAACCAGCTGATTTCACTTCATTTATGTTTTTTTCCCCTATCCCTTAAAGTGTTCTGGGATGTATATGGGCATGTGCATGTGTATGTGTGTGTTTGTGGTCAGCAACAAGTATTTTTGTCACTTATTTATTATGGGGACATTTTAGAAAATGTGGCTTATCCCTCTTCCACTATCATATCTTTTCACAAAACTCAGCTCTTCTTATAAAATTAGATTCTCCACAGGTTCTAGGTGATCTTCTGTGCAATGACTGAGGCTGAGTTAACGCTGAATATGATAGGAATTGCTTGTGTTTAAAGCAGAGATTGGGTTCAGATAATTGCTAAAACTTTTGTTTGCTTTAATTTCCTCTCTCTTTTTGCCTTCAGTGAAGAGCGTTGGGTGAGTCACAACCTACTGTAATTGCTGGTATGCCCATGAACCCTCTTGCTTTATGTTATTTCATTATTTTCCTTCTCATTGTTCATCACAGACACAATGCTTTCTATACCAAGGCATAAGCTCTAATGTGTTTATTTAATGTCCTTGGATACAAATGTATTTTCAAAAGATCACAATAAATGTGATCTTAAATGACATAAATGATTTTATGCTAAGAATTCTTTTTTTGTTTTTCAATGCTATATTTTCAAGATGCTTCCAAGTTATTAAATTTTATTTTTCACTATGGCATAAAATGCAACCATATGTTTTCATCAAATATATTTTTACCTGTTCACTAACTGATGGATACCTGGGTTTTTTCCAACTCCTCCTACTACAAATACTGCACATACCCCATATAAACCTGTGTAAGCTTTTCAGATTCATAGAGTATATGCATACTTGTCTTTAATAAATGCTCCAGAAACCTCTTCAGGATAAATGGACTTGATTCTTCTCTCTACAAGGAATGGGAATGCCTATGATGTACTGTTTCATAACTAGATGAAGGAAAATGAACCAGGTTTGGACCAAGTAGTAGCAGTAAGATTGGTTATTTTTTAAGAAAAATACTATAGATATATTGTGAAAGTAGATCCCAAGATTTTCTAATCGAATCAACATGGTATATAAAAATAGGGGAGTTTAGCAAGCTCTGAGTAACTGAAACTTATCTGGAATTGGAATCAACAGAGATAAAAAAAGGATTAGCATAAGGACTAGATTTAGGAAGTAAAATGAGGTTGGAGATAAAGAGATAAATTACCAAAGCATTTGAGTAAGATCCACCAATGAGATGAGAAGGTAGCGTGTACCACCCTGGAAGACAAAAGAACAAAAAGTATCATGGAGGAAGGAGGAATACATTTTCTCACATTTGGAAAACCAAGTAAGACACTGATGACAATAGATGACTGAAACCAGCAAGGAGGCCATCAGTGACTTGGGGGAGGATATTTGCAAAGTATGGCAAGCATCTATATTGAAATAGGTTAGACTTAGAGTAAAAATGGAAGTGAATATACATAATCTTTGAAAGTTTTGTTTTTAAATAGAAGTCTATGGGCATAAAGAGAAAAGAGTTTGTTTGTTTGTTTGTTTGTTTGTTTGTTTTTCAGGTAGGAAAACTCATAACATATTCATGTGATGATGGAATTTGCCCAGGAAAGAGAAATACTGAGACATAGGAGGGAGGAAGGAATGGCTGGAACAATATTTTAGCAATATGATGCCCATAAGGGGACTTTGGCCTTAAATGAGGGTATAAAGAGTTTACCTGTATAGCAAGCAGAGTATTTCATTAAAAATTTTGGAATGTGGTTAGAAGCAACTAAGGGAATATGTAAACATATTTGTTAGATTAATTCAAGGCTGATAGTGAGGAGGGGACACTTGTTTGGGTATCAGGAGTAAAGAGAAAGTGTAAAACAATCATCCAGTTGAACAACAAGCAAATGGACCAGAGAAAAATAGCATAAATTCCAGAAGCACCAAGGGTCCCCTTGAGGTTCATGACCTTCAATTAATTTAACAAGAGATCAGTGTGGTGGTTGGATTTTCTCCAGCCAAATATAGGTTGAATTGATGCAGGCAAAGATTAGGCAGAAAGAACTAGTTAACCTGTGGTTTTGACAGATGAGTGTCGTGAGGCAAAAGAGGGGCAAGGGAGCTCCAATGTATTCAAGGACATGGTGACTCTGATCGGCCATGGAATTTATGCTGGGTAATGAGGAAAGAGAGGGCTTCAGTAAACAAAGGAACAATAAAAACTTGATCAATAGAGTATGGTATGTGGTGGACACAGATTTAGATTAAGGTGGAATGGCTTTTGTTGGTAGTTACAAAGCTAGACCCTTACTTTGAGCTGTAAGACTTCTGTAAGGTGGATATCAAGATCAGTGGAATGTGTGTGAGACTCATCCTGAACTCCTTAATCGCAGAGTCAATCTTGTTTGCAGTTCTCTGGACCCTCCTAACATCTGAGGTCCCCATTTGGAGAATAGACCTATTCTTGAGAGCTTGACAGAACCTGAATACATGGACCTTTTTTCTTGGGCAAGTCTTTGATTATCATTTAAAAAAAATTTAATGATTGTTTGTCTACTCTATTTTTCTATTACTTCTTCTGACTCTTTTAACATTTTATGTTTCTTTTCAGAAATTCACTCTTTCAATTAGTTTTAAAATGTACTCCTCCTACTATTCTTTTTTAATTTTTAAATTAGTTATATCTGCTATTATTTTTCATTTTTTCTTTACATTATTTTCAAATTTTCTTTTGCCAGTCTTGTCTTTTTACTAACATTTCAAAGAAGCAAATTTTGTTGTTATTTATATTATCAAATTTTCCCTGAATTCTACTGATTTTGGATATTTTTCCTCTTCATATTTTTTGGGTTGAATATTCATTTTTCTAGTTTTTTATTGAATGCTGATTTTTGTGTTTTACTCATATAATTTTCTTTTTTAAAATAAATGTGGCACAGTAATTTTTCCTGAGATTGTTAGCAGTTTCCCACAAAATTTGACATGTTGTACTCTTATTTAGTTCTAAGTATTTCCCACCCTTAATGCTCTTTAACACAAATGTTCTTTAATGTATTTTTGTCTGTTTCTTCATATATGAGGTTTTAAAACTATTATTGACTTATGGATAAAGAATTATGTCTAGAGCAAGTTTAGAATTCACTGAGGTTTTCTCCATAGTCAAGATCAGGGTGTACTACAATGACTGTTTCATGTGTCTTTGACAGCATGTGCATTCTATCTATTGGGTTGTGTGTATGCCTACTGTCACTGCTATCTATTTTGTCAAGTGGTCATATTATCAGTAAAAGGCGAAAGATTTATACGATCTGAAGAGAAACCAGAGTATAAGTGGTCATATTATCAGGAATGTCCCCATTATGTTCTTTATAACCATTTTGCCTTAAATTTTGTTTTTGTTTTGCCTAGTAACAAAATCACCATCTTAAATTTCCTATGTGTTTATGTTTGATACCATATATTTCTTATATTTTTTGCTTTTAAAAGTTCACTGTATGTTTTTAATATGTCTCTTTATGACAACTAATTGCTGGATCTATTCATTTATTTTTTCTCTTCATCCACCAAAAGTGAGAATTCCTGTCCTTTGGTTGATACCTTCCATTTTGTTTTACTTATTAAACTTTATTTTTTCTTTTTTCTCCTTATTATGCCTAATTAGGTAAGTTTCTTTTCTAGTGTCTTAAAAAGTAATTTATTCTACCTTTCATCTTCTTATATCCTTTTACTCTATTAAGACCTATGATTGTATTTTTCCTACTAATTTATTAGTTATTGAGTCTATTGTTTCTATATCTCTTCCTGGAACAAACCAGTATTCACCTACTGTGCATGGTCTTTTTTTCTAATAATCGTTGAACTGTTCTTCCACCTGTCTATTGGACTCCCCAACATAATACTGTCACCAGGACTTAGTTTCAGATTCTTTTTCTTTTTTGTTGTTACTACTGTTGTTGTTGATGCTTCAGTTTTAGTCACTGCTTACTGAGAAATCAGTAATTAGAAAATAAAATGTTCTACTGCCTTTACTTATTCTTGCTCCTATATATCAGAGTGCACTCCTAAATTTATTTCTTTCCTTAATGGTCCATGTACTTTAAACATGTTTTCAAAGCAGAATTTTTGTGGTAAACTTCTGGGAATATATCTGAAGGAACCCAAAACACTAATTTGAAAAAACATAAACACCCCTAAGTTCATTGCAGCCTTATTTACATTCGCTGAGATATAGAAGCAGCCCAAGTGTCCATCAGTAGATGAGTGGATAAAACAACTATGGGGCATTTACACAATAGAATACTACTCATTGGTAAAAAAAGAAGAACATTTTACCCTTTGCCAAAGCATGGATGGACCCAGAGAACATTATGTTAAGTGAAACAAATCAGTCAGAGAAAGACGAACACCATATAATTTCACTCATATGTGGAATCTAATAAACAAACTGAACTATGGAGCAAAATAGGAACAGACTCATAGCAGGATGACAGCTATAGGGGTGGGGGTGCAGATTGGAGTAGAGGGATGGGGCAAAAAGCAAAAAGAACTCATGGAAATGGACAATAATGTGGTGCCTGCAGGGGTGGGAGTTGGGGTATAAAATGGGTAAATGATAATGAAAAAAACAATTAAAATGTAAAGAAAAAATTCTAGCAATTATTATTATTTTAAATTAACCTCTATATCATTCATTAATTCTACTCTTTCTGCAGAAAGTTGGTCTTCAGTCATTTTCTTACTGGTTGGTATTGGTCAAATGCCTTGTAGTTTTTAATTCTGTGGACACATTTCACTGGGTACACAGTCAGTTTGGTGGTCCCCAAAGAATTCTCATCACTTTTACATTTAAAGTTCCATCAACTGTCTTATTTTTGTGCTATAGCCTGGGGTGAAATCAGAGGCAGAACGAGGGCCCCAAGTTAATTATCTTTCTTTTCTTCTAAGGGGTCCTCTGTTGCTTCATTTTCATATTTAAAATATTGATAGGAATTACAAGATGAAAGACAGAAGGTAAAATTCTAGCACAATGAATCTACAAGATAATAAAGAATGAAATAGTGCAGAGCTCCAAATATTGAAAAATATTTTCCCCTTAAATATCATAATTTCCTCCCTAGACAAATCTTCAATATTTGTCCTCAGTTACCTTGAATATCTGAGCAAAGGTATCAGGAAGAGGGTGGCTGAGGAAAGACTGGAAAGAAAGACAGTCTCATCTTAGGAGAAAATGGCTCCAGTCATTATATGGAAATAGGATGGCTTAGAAATAAGAAAATATCACCATTGCCCTGGCCAGGTTGCTCAACTGGTTGAAGCATCATCCCATACACCAAAAGGTTGTGAGTTCAATCCCCAGTCAGGGCACATACCAAGTTGCAGTTTTGATCCCCAGTCGGGGAACCTACAGGAGACAACCATTCAATGTTTCTCACATAAATGTTTTGTTTCTCTCTCTCTAGAATCCATAAATAATTCTCCTCAGGTGAAATTTTAAAAAAGATAAGTGACTATCCACATTTGTTGCTTACAAATGTGGTTATCTGCTTGTTGTTTCTTTCACCTCATAATGCTTCACATAAAAAATAACCACACATGCAAAGTGGAGTCAAACAATATATGGGAATGTTTTTCTCATGTACTTATAAGGCAATAGCACTTAACAGTTTGAGCTGGATATTCTCAGTCATGCCATTTGCTTCTATATAATTGTAAATGCTACCTTCTTTCACTTCCAAAAAAAAGTGTCCTGGTTTACACAATAAATTACATCATCACACTATCTACTTTACAAGCTGTAAAGAAAACACAAGTGGAAATGCAGCATTTAAAGATGGTGAAGTGATGTTTTTGTCTCAAGTTGCTGTTGCAGCAAATTGCCCCAGACTTAGTAGCTTAAAACAACAAAAATTCATTAGCTTACACTTGTAAAAGTTGGAAATCTGAAATGGGTCTCACTGGGCTACAATCAAGCTGTCTGAAAGGCTGGTTCCTCCTGGAAAAATTATCCCCTTGCCTCTTCCAGTCTCTAGAGACCATTGTGTTCCTGGTCTCATGGCTCCTCCCTTCTTCTTCAAAGGATTACTTGGGTGTTGTGCACATTGTGTCACTGGGACACTGAATTTCCTCTCTCTCTCTCTCTCTCTCTCTTGCTCATAAGGACCCTGTGATTATATTGGCTCCACCCAGATAATCCAAGATTGTCTCTTAAAATCCTGGACTGCTCATACAAATGGCAAAAGTCTCTTTTGCCATGTAAGGTCACACTGCATGGCTTCTAGGAATGAGGACATGGGCTTTTTTAGGGGAAGCAGAGGACTTTATTGTGTCTATCACAAGTGAGTGCAGAGTCAGGAAGCTGTAATAACAACTAGGTCTGCTGGGAAGCAGTGGTGGCTTTCTTCTCCTTGGAGATGTCAGCAAAGCCTGACAAGCAGGGACTGCTCAGATAACCCAGTCCCCTGGGAGGTGCGTGTCTTTTCAAAGTCCTAAAGAAATAGCACCACCACAACAACAAAGCAGCAAACAAAACCTTACACAAAGAATTAATGGGAGGGTAAGCATGGATGGGGGCTTGAAGATGAACGTTAGTCATCCAGAACAGGCACCATGAATCACCAGCACCCACACGGAGAACATGATTAAGCTAAAGCACTAAATACGGCACTAGAAAGGTTGCATATTGAATATTCAGGGGGTTATTATACTCCAGAAAGAACTGAATAAGTGATAGTGAAAAATGACACCTGAAACCTACATAGTTTTATTAACCAATGTCACCCCAATAAAGTCAATTATTTTTTTTTTAAATCATTGTTCTACACTGCCCCAGTTGAGCTGAAAATTCCTTTGCTTTTTCCACTTTTGTTGTGTTTCAGCCTGCATCTGGGCTTGCAGGGTGAAGCACCTTGACCTTGTCCTCTTAGAATCCTGGAGTCCTGACTGGCAGAATGGGAAATTCAGAAAGCCCATGGGCTGTTAGGTTGGGGATGTCAGATTTCTTAGAGAGCTGGAGCCATAAGGATGTAAGGGATGGTGCATGCTGGAGAATGCTCAGTCTTCAGAAGCTTGTCTGTCATTCCAGAAGGCAGAATCAGTAGAATGTGCAATGACTAGCCACTCACCAGTGCTCCTTTGGCTCCTTTTTCTGGAAAGGTGGAGTCAGTCAACTGAGTCTCTATTTCTTGTCAAAATAGCCTCAGGCAATCTGTCCCAAGGGTACGTCTTTAGCACTGTTCTCCTTCCTGCTCTAGAAGGAACCAGAAATTTTTTTCTTCAATTTTTCCTAGTAATTAATTTTATATATTTTTGTAAATTATCTTTTTTTGAGAAGGGAAGTATATGTGAATAAAGTTGATTAAACAGAATGAAAAGGAGTATTAATGGTCACTTCAAGAATCTAGCTAAGATTCTCATGAGAGAATAAAATGATAGGATAAAGACATCAAAAGCCCTGGCTGACGTAGCTCAGTGGATTGAGCGTGGGCCTGTGAACCAGAGTATGGCAGTTCAATCCCCAGTCAGGGCACATGCCTGGGTTGCAGGCCAGTTCCCAGCAGGGAATGCATGAGAGGCAACCATACATTGATATTTCTCTCCCACTCTTTCTCCTTCCCTTTCCCTCTCTCGAAAAATAAATAAATAAATAAATAAGACATCAAAAAATAAAAGAGGGGCAAAATGAATTTAAAACTAGATTCTGGAGTGAAATACTTGGCAAATAAGTCATGGTAAATGACAGTGTGTATTGATATATATTGGACACTATTCCAAGAATTTTTTACATATCTCATTTGATGCTAATATACTGTAAATAGGGTTAACTATTTCCACTTATATGAAATGAAATGGAAGCACAGAGATGTGTAACTTTTCCAAGGGCATTCTTGGTAATAAGTGACCAATTTTATAACATGTATTAACATTTAAATATCCTCCATCTTTGCAAGACTTAAAAAGCTGATGGCATTTAGAAATAGAAACTTTCTGGAAATGTCAAAGCAGTGATAATGTCTTTTATTCTTCTCACAAACAGGAATATTTTGAAGAAACCTGAAACATTTGCATATTGACTTCTTGTGATTCTGTATAGATTAAGTTTCTGTAAGCATTTTTAAACATTGTAAGAAAATTAGGGTCATATCTAGATTTGTCTGTTTCTCTTTAATTTAGACAAACATTTCATAAAAATCATAGTCAAAAGGTTTTTCTTGTATCCATTGGCAGGTGTATTAGTTTCCCAGGGCTACTGTACTTAACAACCACAAACAGGATGGTTTAAAACAATTAATTTTATTGTCTCACAATTCTAGAGGCCAGAAGTCCCAAATCAGGATGGCATTAGGGCTATGCTTTGAGATCCTGACTAGAATCATTCTTTGCCTCTTCCTGCTTCTGGTGGTGACTATCAATTTTCAGCATTCCTTAGATTACAGCTGTACCCCTCCAATTTCCTTCACCTTCACATGACCTTCTTCTCCCTGTGGGTCTGTCTTTACATAGTGTTTGCTCTTCCTGTAGGGACACCAGTCATTGTATTAGGGCCCACTCTAATGACCTCATCTCAACTTAATTACATTGGCAAAAAACTTTCAAATAAGGTCACATCCACAGGTACTGGGGCTTAGAATTTCAACACATCTTTTTGGGGGATATACTTCAATCCATAACAGAAAGCTACAAAGTCTTTAAAGTGCAATGATACATGTATTTATTTATATAACATATTTTTGCATGCCTATTACATACAGGTTTAGGCTAGATATTGGGAATTTAGCTGGGAATAAAATCTGTTCCTGTTTCATTGTGGTTTAATCCTAGTGGGAGAGATGAACACATAACTACACACGTAGGATTATCTTATTATAACTGATGGAGCACTTATTTTCATTCAGTCCAGAGGGAGACAGGTCAAGGAAGGTCTCCCCAAGTTGGAGATAGCTCTGCTGTTTTGAAAGGGAATGCAGTTCACAACAATTAAAGGGTATAGGAGATAGTGAAATCATCCCAAACAGGAGAAAATAAAGTTTGCTGGGTCCCTGAGGCAGGAGGATTGTCAAGCTTGTGGCTATGACTGCATGCCCAGAGAAGGAGCTAAGATACTCAACCCTATTAGCATCATGTAGACCCATAGCTGTCCCTCAGAGTCACCTGGACACTCAGCAGAGTACATAGGCCCAAGATTATCTTGGTTCATCAAACTCATCCTTGAGTTAATAATATGAAGCCTTTCTTGTTCACTTCATTAATTTTAAGGTGATCGTGAATTCATGGAAGAGCTTTAAGCAGAGGCATGAAGAGACAGCTTTCTGGATCCCTTTAGAGTCATCTCTCTTGGGTGCAGAGTGTTGACCCACATCTCCATAGGGGAGAGGGGACCATTATGTGTCTTTTTTCTGAGGCCTCTGTAAATGCACTCTCATCTCCTCTCTCCAGGCCAGACATTCTTAAATGATATAAAAACAACATTTGATAACATTAGTATAATTTTCTACCTTACTTGAAAAACGACTAGAGTAGATCCCTTGCTCTTCATCTATAATGGCAATAGGACAGGACATGAAAGCCAGTCAACATATTACACCTCTACAGACACCTATGAAAACTGAGATCAGAGTCATATAGCTACTAGTGCCATATATAAAGTCTCCAAGTATCTTGGCTTTTCCTAGTATCTTTTTCCTCCTACCACCATATTGCACACCAGGTTTATGACCCAGTGAAAGGAAACACATCTGCCTTAATTTAATTGCTCAACCTGACTGTTTAGTATCAGTTCCACCCTCTTTATAGAACGAAAGCTAACATAGTACCTTGACCCATCCTGAGCTCTGCTCTCTGTCAAGAAGTTAGGAGTCATCTTTTCAGAGCTGTGTGTGTGTGTGTGAATGTGCCCAGATGGAACACCATGAGCCAGACAGTAAGTGACAAATCAATCCCACCCATGCTGTGCCTACTCTTTCACCTTTTGCTACTGAGTCACTGTCATGCTCCCCCTTACCACAGTGTCATCTCTGTTTTCCCAGTGTGGATGATCTCAACTTGATTCAAGCACACTTTTCAAAAAATATTTTATTTATTTATCTTTAGAGGGGAAGAGAAGGAGAGAGGGAGAGAAATATCAATGTATGGTTGCTTCTCGTGCATCGCCTGCTGAGAACTGGCCCACAACCCAGGCATGTGCTCTGACTGGGAATCACTTTTTTATAATATAAAACTGACTGAGCACCTATTACCATTCAATCCAGAGGAAGAGAATTAAAAGAAATCCTTCCCCCAGTTGGAGACAGTTCAGCTGCCTTGAAAGGCGGACACAGTTCACAACAGTTGGGGATATAGGAGAAGGTAAAATCATCCCAGGTGGGAGGGAATAGAGTTTGTTGGGACCCTCAGGCAGGAAGGACCAATATAAACTTTCTGACATAAATTTCCCATCCTGTATCCATGTGATATTGAGCTTGTTGCATTGGCTACCAGTTAGTTGAATACATCTACAGTGACCAAAGTTTCCCCAAAAGGACCCTTAGGGAGAAATATAGTGCTCCTCAAATAAACTTGCATTGCTCTCCACTTGAGTCCCTAAAACATTTCTAAATCCTATAGTAAAAATGAGCATAAAGAAGCCTTTTGACTTCATTGTACTTTTTAAAAGTATTTTTACTCATCTCTTCCTAAAATGATATTTTCCATGTGAAAATCAATTGATGTGACACAGAAACAACCCAAGCTCTGGTGGCCACAATTCAAGACAATCAGAACAGCAAACTGATTGCAAGGAAACTAGCCCTTCTTCACCTGCGGTACTAAAGGAAAGAAGCCACTGATCCTGATATTTGAAACATCTGTGACATTTTATTTCCATGTTTTCTTTGCATTTTTCAAATCTGTGTTTTCTTTTTTAATGTGTACCTTGAATTATGCCTTGACCAAATTATACTTATTTCTATTAATTTTCTTTTTCTTCCTTCTTTCTTCATCCCTTCCTGCCATCCTGCCTTCCTCTTTGCATTTTCCCAAGGATGTATTTTCCATTTAATTTTAAACGTAGTGACATATGGTTGGAGTTTACTTTTTTTGTATATGTAAAGTCTGAGAGTTTTTATTTGTAATAAGGTACTTTAAACTACTGCCATTGATTTTTATAAAGTAGGATCAACACACAGGGTTGAGCACAAGTAGGTATATAGTTATTCATATGGAAAATAATATAACAATAATAAAAGAATAAACTGTTTTACCTCCTCACAACTGTAAACATACTTTTGCCCCACCCTGTATAAATTATCTTGTTTTCTGTTTACTTTGTTATATATTTTTTCTTCTTTTACATTACTGAAATTCTTCATGTTAACCATTGTTCTCCCCATCCATGCACATCCCAGGCATGGTGGAATTCTTTCACTTCCACAATTGCAATGTACTCTTTCTAACTTTCTGCGTGACATGCTCTTCTCCTACATCTATCATTAGTGTCTCCACTGAGTAAATCCTTACTCATCTTTAAGGCTCAACTTAAATGATTTTGCCCTGGGTGACCTTCCTTAGCTCTGTCTGCTCCCTGGCATCCTGTGCTACCTGATCTGATATCATTGCCCACTGTGTCAAGTTTCTTTGAGACAGCATAAACTCCAGAAAATTAGGTATAATCTCATAACCAAAATTTTAGCATGACCCCTGGGACAAAGAGGATTCAGTAGACATTTATGGATTAGTTGAATGAATAGTTAATTAACTACAGACCTCAAGTACCCAACAGATTATGGAAGATTGTAAGAGTGGCAGCCTCTGCTGTCACAACTTTATCTTTGTTTTCCTGAGGCTATCTTTTGTACCTGTAATTTGCCCAGGGTCAGTCTCCATCCCCATCTTGAAGTAGTTCCTGTGGAATGCAATCCTGCAAAGCAGCACAACTTCAGCAGCAGATCATCTTAGCAGCTGTGGGTCAGGCAATGACCTATGTTGGGCTCTCCAAGTCCTGAGTGTTTTGGCTCTGAGTTTGGCAGTCAGGGCTCACCTTTGTGCCTGCCCCCCACCCTACTTTTCTTCTACCAGGTGAAGAGGAATAAGCAATAAGCCCCTATACTCACTTCCCTGAGATATTGGGAAATCTTTAGCTTTACCTCTCTCCTTGAATCAAGTCACACCATCAGGGTGATCACATTGCTCCAATTTTCATGGAACTACATCAATGGACATTTTTAAAGAACTATCTTCCTAACACCTACTTTTAAGCTATTTAATGTATAAGTC